CTTGCTCTGTGTTGCAAGGCATGTGATTGGCTGTTAGCCACTGATGTCACACATTTATGTGCACACGCTCCACAAACTCAGGATCAAAGCCTGAGTTGACAAAGAAAGTTGATGATCAGCATCATGGCACCAACAAAGCCGGATTGGAGTGGTTTGGTTTTGTCAACTCGAAACTAATCCTGTAACTCTGAATTTGTTCAACTTACCATCATGGTACAGGCCCCAGGTCTAATGTTGCTTTTCGAGTTTACAAGTATAAAGGTGCTGTCACATTTACTGTTGTATGAAGAATTTTTACTGTCAAAATCCATTCGTTTTAATTGGAATCCACCCAATCAGGAATTTAACCAGGGCAAAATATTTCATTTTGCAGGTTTCTGAAAGGTTCCAAGCTGGTCATGTGAATTCGCCATGCTGACCAACAGAAAGCTGTTTGGTTTGAAAGTGACTTCTGTGTGAGCTGTGCTTCATGCATCGCCACACAGAAATTTCGCTAATGTGATGCCACCTTAAAGGGGTGGTCACATGCAGTTTATGTTCCACTGACTTTTTCATATGCATGCAAATTGATGAACTCTGCCTTGTGAATTCATATCACGTAAAGACGTGACTAACAGAAGATTGAAAACTTTAAATCTGCAGGATTGTGCAGTAAAGTGGAGTAGACTGAATATATTTATATTTTGAATGTTACATGTTGAATTTTAATGTAATTTGTTAAAAAAAAAAAAGATGCTGCAGAGTGTGACATATTACAACCGTTGCAATGTCTGTAGAAAATTTTGCTCGCTCAAAGTCTATTGTGACAGCGGCTTCAGTCAAGTCAATTTATTAGCAACTTAAGTGTAACTTGAGTTTCCATCTCTGACGCTATAAAAAGAAGACTGCAAGAACAGGAATGGATACAGTCTACAGTCATCTGCTTTTTTTTTTTTTTTTTTCATGCAGGTTTTATATTGTGTGGAAGAATATGTTAGTCAATTATAACACTGGGACTGTTTGATATTCAAACCACTAAACAATTAAAATGTTTGAAGTTTTAAAGTAATAATTACTTAAAATAATCTCTTGTTTGTATCTGTGTAATGTTTTGGTGGCTGAGTTAGCAACAATTTTGACATTCACTTGTGCTTTAGTGATGATAGATCTTTTTATAGTGCTAGTGGTGTGTGTGTGTGTGTGTGATGGCCTCAGTAGGAATGAAGGAGCAATCTAGGGGGCGGATGTGGTTTGGGGTTAATCTCCTCCATGCGTGTGGTGAATTAAGACCGTACAGCAGGTGGGGCTCTTATCCACTCACGCTGCTTTCCTCTAAACCACTGTTTGCTCCTCTTCGGCCTCCCTCGACTTCTCTCCAATCCCGATGCTCTAGAGAGAAACAACAGCTGTGTGGAAATTAGTTCCAGTGAGGGGAACCCAGCAAAGAGACTCTTTAAAAATTAAAGCTCTGGACAAGTGGTTCCCATTAACAGCAGTCATTGCGATCTGGTTGGCACGTATGCTGTGCTTGACTCACCCGCGACCATGATAAAATGCTATCACTTGTGCGAGCATCTGCTTGTGAAATCTGTCATGTTCGTTGAGAGTTTAAAGGATTTAAGGGTAAAAAAAAAATAGTGACATCATCGGAGTCAACCGTGTTGAATAGTACAAATGAAAAATATTATACATTTTTTACATTTAAATTTAAATTACAGATAAAATGGTAAAATTGGTCGCAAAAATTAGAAGCGAAAACCTTTCTATTTTGAATTTTTCTAATTTATTTTTATTTGCATTATTTCTTTATTTTAAATTATAAAGTTTCAGAATTTTCCAAAATCCTAAAACATTGTTTATTTCCAGGTTTAAATAAGATTGTTTTTTTTTGTGGTGGATTCAGATGTTGGAACCCCACTGTATGTTTTCGGTTCTTTCTGAAGGCCACTTTTGAAACCTTTGACCTTTGTGTTTTTCAGTCAATTCTTCAGATGTGTACACTGATCCGCTTGATTCAACATTTGTCTGGACTGTAAACTACAGCGATACTGTAAGTGTTTCAAAACATCACTGAAATATGCGTAAGGCTGGAATACACTACATGACTTTTCAAATCTGAACACATTTTAAAACTCTAAGCATTATACACTTGCCAGCTTTGTAAAATGTTACAGAGGAAAAATTGAACATCATAAACATGCTCCTCATTACTAGGAGAAACAGGACAAATAAAGAAATAAATAATATGTGTCCTAAAATTGGCTAAAAATATCAAGCATGTTTGATATCCTGGATGGAATTATAGTCTGAAAAACCTAAAAAAAAATCGGAAGTTTGAGCCCATTATATACTACATGATATTCTGTGAAATCTGCCAATTGCTGAAAATCTGCAGACTGGCTCTTACTTTTAGCAACTAGCATTGGCTGCTCCAGACTAAAAAAACAGTACAAATATCTGGATAAAACTTGTGTAGTAGTGTATTCCAGCCTTAAGACTTGTTGGATTCATTGAGGTCACCATATAGAACACAACACATTAGAGACAACTTCCTTGTCCTTGGTATGTTCAGAAAATGCACGGTGCTTTTTAATCCTTAAATTGTTGGCTGTTTCCTAAAACATTTTATCCAGACCTGCCTGACATTTTGTCCTCTTCTATAGAAAAACTGGGCTCCCAGTTGTGAATAATATAGATCTCTCAATAGTTCCATTCAGATGAAGTCCTCAGTTAATTGAAATATAATGCCCAAATCCTTGCCAACATCTTTGTAACTGAGTGAGCCATAGCTCATGTTTCGCACCTTTTGTGCAAACTTGAACAGTAACAGAGTCATTGTAAAACTTCAGAGAGGTTGAAGACAACAAAGTATCTGCCTTCAAACAGAAACTGGAGAGCTTTTAATGTTCTGCAACTTTCTTTGTTCATGAAACATGTCACTCAACTTTAAATGAATGTCTTGGGTTCATGTTAGGTCTGTGTGCTGATGCTGATCACCACAGGAAAACAATTTCCTCTCATCATTCAGTTATCTTAATCACGTAAATGCACAAAGAAAGTAATTCAAATTATTTAGAATGGTTTTATAAAGTCAGTCAACAGGATCTGACTTATTGCTGATACTCTCATGAAAGAAAGAGTTACAAGGTTTGTCATGATTTTCTGTGAATGAACATCTTAAATTTGGTTTTTAAGTTTGATCCAGACACCTTTTGATTTGATGTTCTGATCATGTGTCTTTGTGTCATTTGTGCAGCGCTTGAATGCCAGCTGGTCCTCACTGTCAAAGAAGGAATGCTTGAAATACGGAGGGGAGTTAGTGGGCAAAGCCTGCGACTTTGTGCCCGACATCACCCTCATGTCCTTCATCCTTTTCTTTGGCACCTACACCTGCTCCATGTGTCTGAAGAAATTCAAGACAAGCCCATTCTTTCCTACTACTGTGAGTAGCCAATCTGTGGCTCTAATCATACTACATGTGTAGAGGCAATATTTAGCCAAACCCTGTCTCTAATCCATATACTGCGGGCAGTTAGACAAAAATCGTTTTGTCAGTCCAGTCTCTGATCCTAATCAATACTGCCGTTATTGAGGGAAAAGTACTGATGTGATGCTCATTACTTAGTCTCTAAAAAAAACAACATCTTTTTTCCCCATTTTTCCATCTTAGGTGAGGAAACTCATAAGTGACTTTGCCATTGTCCTGGCTATTTTGATCTTCTGTGGTGTCGACGCTCTGGTTGGGGTAGATACGCCAAAGCTCATAGTGCCAAGCGAATTTAAGGTAAACTTTCTGTCCACATTGTCTGTCTGTTACTGTAAAGTGACGATCCCTCTGAGGTGCACTTCTAATATTTCTCCAGACCTACAGTACTGTTCAAAAGTTTGGGGTCTGTAAGATTTTTTTTTGAAAGAGGTCTATTATGCTTTATATATTTTATAATGTAATTTATTCTTGTGTTAGCAAAGCTGAATTTTCAGCAGATGATCCTTCAGAAATCATCCTAATATGATGATTTGCTGTTCAAGAAACCTTTATTATTATCATCAAAGTTAAAAAAAACAGTTGTGCTGCTTAATGTTTTGTGGAAACATTTTTTTTTCAGGATTCTTTGTTTAATTGTAAATTCAAAATAACTTTATTTGAAATAATACTATAATATATACAGTACATAAAATAACATTGTTGTAACAAATGCACTTGATCAATTTAATGCATCCTTGTTAAATAAAATTATGAATTTCTTTAAAAAAAAATCTTACTGACCCCAGACTTTCGTACTGTATTATGTGTCCAAAAAGATCATAATATATCCAAAAATATCAAAAAAATTTATAAAATCTTATAATTATTTTTCCTGCAGTTATCTAGAAAAAACAACTAGCATAATTTTTAAATAATATTTATTTAAAATAAGTTTTGTTCACTGTATAAACAGAATAATGGGAAAAATAGCCAAATCAAGAGATGATCTGTTCTGTATTAGCTATTTATTTATTTGTATAAAATGTTATTATATATGTTATTTATTTTTGTAAAATGGTTTTGGAACAGTGAACACTGCATGGGTCGGTACATGGGGTGTTTCTACTCCTACATGGGGTGACCTGAGGGTCTGCTTAATAGAAATAGATTTTGTTCAGGAAAAACAAGTATCAGAGGTACACTGGCTGGCATGCTCTGTTTGCTGCATCTTATGTACTGATTCACTGTCAATGCCAATCCACTCAGGACGTTACTGTTTGTATCCTGTAAACATTTGCCAAGTGCCCTGACTGCAAACTTCTGTGATCCTCAAACTGCACTCCTCTCAAATCCTCAGCCAACTAGCCCAAACCGTGGCTGGTTTGTGCCTCCGTTCGGAGGGAACCCCTGGTGGGTGTACCTGGCAGCAGCTTTGCCTGCCCTGCTGGTCACCATCCTGCTCTTCATGGATCAGCAGATCACCGCTGTCATTGTCAATCGCAAGGAGCACAAGCTTAAGGTAGGCCTGCCGTGAGTCTGCTGTGTAATTCTCTCCCGAGCCAGAAGGTTTATCACGCTCACTTTGAGCCACCCAGGACCACAGGAAACACTTGCAGTGCCGTGGGCGACTATATCGGGATATTTATAGAAAGTCTTTTACGAATAGAGCTCTTTATCTTTTGTCTGGAGGATGTGAATCAGAACTTGGGGTCAAAAATAGCATTATTTAAACAGATGGTCTGAGGCAAGTCAAAAACTTAAAGAAAAGCAGTTTGATTTTGTAATATACTGAGTTTGTAAGATGATAGCTAGAAAGGCTTTGTTGATAATCAAGAATTGTATGCTACTAGGAATTATAGACTACATATATGAAAATTCTGAAACAATATATTTAAAAAAAATATTAATTCAAACTCTTGAGTTAAAACTTCACCAAGCAGTTTCACCTCAACGTCACACTTTTGGTCCAGATTCTGAGTGGAACAAAGAGGAATTGTGAATCAGACAAAAGCAAACCATTTATTCTCTTTTGACCTGTAATGTGACGTGAGACTGGCCTCAAAACATTGTGTCCTCTCACTATAATGCCTCCCAATGGAAGTGCTCCTATTGTTATCTCTGTGAGAATTACACTGCCCTGGTGACATATTGTGCTGTACTTTTGTGTGATGCAGAGTAGTTTTATTTGTTAGAATAAAGCACTCAAGAAAACTGATGGCTTATTTAAAGGGACAGTTCACCCAAAAATGAAAATTCTGTTATTTCGCCTTCATGTCAGTCGAAACCAGACTGTTATTTTTCTGTTCAATACAAAAGGAGAAGCTGTTTTCCATAAAATAATTCATAGTGACTACCTCTCTCAAGACTATTAGACTTGGAGAATATCACTGTAAAAATTATTGTAGCAATTAGCCATCACAACTTAAATTTTAGTAAAATAACTTTACCGGATTTAACTTAAGATAACTCAAATATCCAAGTTATCACTTAATACTTCACAATTCAAGTTGACTAAACTTAAAATTTGAAGGCAGCACAAACACTTTTTTTATGAGTAGAAACAATTTTTATACTGTAACAGTATACTGCAATAACTACAACATATTCAGTATATATGATTTTATTTATTAATGGATTTATTGAATGGATGCTGCATTATTGGGACCTTATTTGTCCCAAACCATAAAGCTTACCCCTACACCTACCCCTACCCCTAACCCTAACTATATTGGACCTGCTCAAAGGTCCAGAAAGAGAGCAGCGGTTTTGAGCACGGTAACAAAATTAGCTGCACGCATCAAGACTGGCTATCTGGACATGTAAATAGATACTGTATTTTTTTTTTTATGGTGCTTTGTTTGTTTTGGACCTTGATAGACTTGATCGAGACATTGGAAAATGGAAAAGAGCTATTTGAATTATCCTTTTATGTTCAATTATGACAGCAAAAATAGCAGCATGCATGTTTGGAGCTACGAGAAGCTGCGTAAATAATGTGAAGAAAAAAAATCATTACTGGGCAAACTATTATTGTAAAATGTTACCGAACACTATAATCAGTCATAAAATGTTTATGATTGCTCTTATAGCATTTTGTAAGCAACTTTCTCTGTCTTGATCAGAAAGGTGCAGGCTATCATCTGGACTTGTTCTGGGTAGCTGTGCTGTTAGCAGTGTGCTCTTTCACGGGTCTGCCCTGGTATGTAGCTGCTACAGTTATTTCCATTGCCCACATTGACAGCTTGAAGATGGAGACAGAGACGTCGGCCCCTGGCGAACAGCCCAAATTTTTGGGTGTCAGGTATGTTCTAAAAAATAAAAAGACGAGGTGATATTTGGTGGTTCCTGTGTATTCGTAGAGTGTCGTGGCATAAAACTGAAGGATCTGACTATGACAGTAAAGCTTTTGCGTCACTCGTTGACTACAGAGTTGAGTTCAGTGGGACGTCTGTTAAAAGGCTGCATGTTGGACTGAACTCCAGGGGGCTTTATTGATGCAGCTGTAAGCTGAACAAACGTACTGTAAACAGGCCTAGTTCTGCTGAAAACACACTCCCAGTATTTAGGTTGCACTTTTAACACTTCTCTGGTTTGGTTAATTCCCAAAGTATTTCAGGTATTAATGATAAACATTAATAATACAAATCTGATTAATATTATAATCAGAAAGAATCATTAATAATTAGGGAAAGAATCATTAATAATTAGGGAAGTGGAATCTTTAACCATTAGATCCCACTTCCCTAATTATTAATGAGGGAAGTGGGATCTAATGGTTAAAGGTGTGAGCTGGTAACTTACATGTTGCAGGTTTAAACATAGAAACTATAACCTGTATGCCCCTGATCAAGGAACTACACTCCAAGTTACTCCAAGGGGTACAACCGTCACTCTAATAGGTGTACTGCAAGTCACTGTGGATAAAAGCATGTGCCAGTTGACTTCTTCCTGTAATTAAAACAATGATACACTGCATGTTTGTTTGTCTAAGAAGACTGTTTAGCTATGTTTTTTTTGCTGTATGCACCTGTTAGTAATGGGTGCAGCTGAAATAGCCAAACCTGCTAATTAGAGGAGGGTGTCCACATACACTAACATTCAAGTATTTTGAGTCAGTAAGATTTTTTTTTAAAGAAATGAATACATTTATTCAGCAAGGACACATCAGATTGTTTGAAAGTGACATTTATAGTAGTAATTTTTTTTTCTCAAATAAATGCTGTTCTTCTGAACTTTCTATTCATCAAAGACTCCTGAAAAAAAAAACTATCACAGAAATGTTTCTTGAGCACCAAATCAGCATTTTTGTAATTGTCTCCTCTTCAGGGAACAGAGAGTTACTGGTGTCTTTGTCTTCATCCTCACCGGTCTGTCTGTCTTTATGTCTCCTATCCTCAAGGTAACAATACAATACATCTAGTCGCATCAAACACACTGCTGCATGTGTGTGATTTTCTTTGTCTGTTCTCAAACACATAATGGCTTTGAATGTCTGAATAATTATTTCCTGTAGTTTATACCAATGCCAGTGTTGTATGGAGTCTTCCTCTACATGGGTGTCGCTTCACTCAACGGAGTTCAGGTAAGTTACCGACACGATTCTGCGCCATTCAAAACTCAACTGAAAAAGCCTTTTAAATAAAATTTCTGGGATGTAGAATTATATTTCAAATTTGAATTTGAGAAATTGGAATAAAATCCTTATACAGTATAATTTGGGGTATTTCCAAACACATTAGATTATTTTATAATTACTATTTGAAATAGTTTGACAGTAATTTAGCTGGGAAAAGTTTTTTTTTTTTTTTGAGTATTGCTCTTTGGTTCTCAGTTTATGGACCGGCTCAAGCTGCTCCTCATGCCTGCCAAACACCAGCCAGACCTGATCTACTTGCGGCATGTCCCATTGAGGAAGGTCCATCTCTTCACTTTCATCCAGCTGCTTTGTCTGGCGCTCCTCTGGATCCTCAAGTCCACCGTGGCTGCCATTGTTTTCCCCGTTATGGTTAGTCACCTCTTTCAGCCGTTCTTGATTTAACAAGCATTAATATTATAAGCGGCTTTGACTGCAAAACTGAGAGCTTCAGGTCTAAAAATTGCACTACCTGTCAAAAGGTTGGAATACTTAAGATTTTTTTGTTTTGTTTTTGAAAGAAGTTTCTTTTGCTTACCAAGACTGCATAAGAGACTTCTTTCAAAAGCATTAAAAAATCTGAATTATTCAAAACTATTATCTAGTAATGTACTTGTGCCAGTTATTGCATCCCACTAGAAAAACAGATCAAATGTTACATATTTGTCATAATATTAACTCTCAAGTGCTGTATTTTTTGCAGAACGCAACTGTTTCATCATCTGTAGTATGTGCACTGAACTGAAAGAGCACATTTGCTATTCTCTTTGGTCAGATCTTGGCTCTGGTTGCTGTGAGGAAGGCATTGGACTTAATCTTCTCCCAGCTTGACCTCAGTTTCCTGGATGATGTCATACCTGAGAAGGACAAGAAAAAGAAGGAAGATGAGAAGAAAAAGAAAAAGAAGAAACAAGGGAGCATAGACAGTGACATGGAAGATGTGAGTGTCCTGAAAAATAGCCACAAACTGTTTTAATGTTAGTATTAAGAACACTTTAGACTTTAAAGGTGACATATCATGTAAATCTGACTTTTCCAGGTTTTAAGTGCTATAATCAGGTCCCCTGTGCATCTATCAACCAAGGAAACGTGAAAAAGATTAACTCAGTAACTTTGTTTTGATAAGCTTTTTTCTGCAAGCGTCTGAAAAAACAAGCGCGTCTGATCTCGCTCCCATAGTGACGTTGCAAAGGGATCTCATTATAATATTACCGCCCCTTAATCTGTAAGTTTCCACCCATGGCGCCATCATTTTGATTTCGCAAGCGACAACGGTGTACCAGTTCTAATACCATGGCGAAAGTTTGAGCAAAACATACTAACTGTTCTGTCTTTGGCTGCACAGACGAGCACAGAACACTATTTAGAGTCCCAGCCTCAGAGCAGACAAGAGAGCAGTGGATTTATTGATTAATTTACTGTATATTGCTGCTGCCTGCCACACAGATCTAAAATAAACATGCAATTTATTTCCCAGCTTTTCCCAGTTTACATTCACAGTCATAACCTACTTTTAGCTCATTTGCATTTAAAGAGACATACTCTAATACAGCGTGTTTCTGCTTCCACTCAAAATAGGCATTTTCAAAATGATATAATAAATGATCTGTGGGGTATTTTGAGCTAAAACTTCACAGTTACATTCTGGGGACCCCTGAGACTTATATTACATATTGTAAAAAGGGGCATAATATGTCACCTTTAAGAAAAAGTTCACTTAGTTGCCCTTTAATAATATGCTTTAATACCTGTGTATGATACACATTATGACTGGTAGACACATTTGACTGGTAGTCTATCCATCCATCCATCCATCCATGGAGGATGAACTACGCTGGTGTGTGTAGGTTCAGCTCCTAAAGCTCTTTTTGACCGTTTCTCCCTGTGCAGTCTGACTGTCCTTACAATGAGAATGTCCCCAGCATTAAAATCCCAATGGACATGATGGAGCAAGAGCCTTTTTTAGGAGATAAGGCCTCTGACAGTGAGTAGACCGGACCTGGGGCCTCACCTCAATTCAAACCTCTTGAATGATTCAGCATGAGCGTTTTGCTTTCTCTTCCTTTCATAACGCGGTGCATGCTACCACTTGCTCCTCTGTCACATCTCAGTCCTCTATAGCAACTGACAACTAAAACTTTTTTTTCCATCTTTTTTTAGTCATTTTAGTATGTAACAAACCGTAGGAAATGTTTTCTTTTCAACTAAAACTTGTAACATCTTAATAGTTGTATTAAGATCGTATTATCTAATGAAAATGTAAATTAAAATATTCCCATGAAATCGCAGATATACAGTCGTTGGACATCTTTAGTCTTCAGTTATTCTGTTTGCTTTTTTGTATGTACTGAGCTGGTGCTGTTGATCCTGTATGGTGTAAAAGCATGATGGTGGGTGGTATATAGTGCATGTGTTAGCAGAATGTAAAGCCGTGTATGTGCTAAGAATAGACCATGTGTCCCTCTTGCAGGAGAAAAGTCCCCTTCATTCACTGACCGATATACATCGTGCTGAAAAGCGGCACTACTTTCAGACCAGCCCGATGTCAAGGTACGCGTCTTAAGCTGTTGTGTGTTAGTAATATGTAATTATAGTATGGATGAATAACAACATAGAATATTAAGAATGTGTGAAGCAGAGCACTCTTAAGAACATCAAATGTACACATTAAATGATTAGATAAGTGTTTCAGATTTTGTATACTTGATAAAAAAGGGGGTATGCATTACTATAATTCAGTAAGATCAAGATGCTTACACTAAAAGTCACCTTTATTTCTTTCAACATCACAATTTATCAAGGCTTACATAATGCCTTTATAATACTCTTGTTAGTTGTTCAAGAGCATTCTTTGAACCACGGGTTAAATAGTATCAAAACAATTCTTGGTAGTTACTGGGAAATCAATTGAATAGCTGTTTGTAAGTTGACTTGTCTTTTTCAGTTCAGAGAGACTGCCATTAAATGTGCCTCAGATTAAAATAGATATGGACCCAGATGACAACAATGGCTGCTACTGGATGAGTCGAGGGTCTGAGACGTCCATATAACTCCTCCAACCAATCAGCTACATAGATTTTATTAGCTCTTGCGATTTGCAGAAAGCCATTTGCCAAGGGATATTTTGTAAAGACTGTTCCCCATCATGGATCCATTCTGTGAAGACTAAATAACAGCTTGAGGAACGCTTGTCTTCCACTCACTTAATCACTACGGTTTGCAAGTTGTAATTCCTAAACTACTATGCAGTTCAGTTCAATATTTCACTTACTGTATGTGCTGAGCTGTAAAGAAATGCTGTAGCTGTTTTTACACAGTTCCACAACTACCATTATTCATCCAATACAATATGAATCTTCACTTAACTTGACACTATTTTCCTTTTCCTTTATTTTTTTGCTCCTCTACCTCTGCTTTACATGGTAGGCATTATGTAAAAAAGAATTAACTTTTTCATTTTTTTTATTTGCACAGCATGAGATCTTAATGTTGATCTTTTTTTTTAATGTACATCTTGAGCAAACTATTCAGCAAATGACTTCAGTTATGAAGAGAGAGAACAACTGTGACAATATATTATAATATTTAACTTGATTAACTTTTTAATGATGGTTAATGTTATTGATTGGCATTGAACCTGCTGTTTTTCATATTGTTTCATTTAATATAGTGTGGTTTTAAATTTAATTTGTTTCGTTTTACGAACAATATTTATGCCTAATTATCCAAACACGTTCTAATAAGCTTGATTAATTAAGAAAGCCTAATAATTCATTTTGCGTTTCAAGTCTGGTTAGGCATTTGCTTTGTTACCTGCTTATGGAAAAAGTCTAAAAGAATAAAAGTCTACGTGTATAACCTACATGTACTCGAGGGTCTGTTGTCCTTCAAATGATTTACCTAAGTGGCTTAAACCTGAATTGCAATAATATGTGAAATTTCTTTAGGTTTAAGGTTGTCTTGTGTAATTCAGATCACTTTTTTAATTGTGCTTTATTTTACGGATGTCATATTGCAAGTTGTGTCATTTGTAAAAAATAAGTCAGAAAATGTCAACAGTGTGGTACATACATTTGAATGAAGATGACATTTGTGCTGAGTCATACAGTGCATGTCCTAAACATTGTTCTCTTTGATCCTTCAAGAACTCGGTATCCTTTGTTGATTCCTGCTAATTTGTCATTATTTTTCCTCTTGCTTTCAAAAAACAAAAGTATACAAATTGTAGTATACAATATTTTCAAAATCAACTTTTAACCTTGTAAGTATACGGTTTTTTAACTTATATTTTTGGGGGTACCTAAAGATGAAATATATTGTGAAAGCATGTCTGGGGAAATTCTTGAACGTTTAAACAATGCTAAATGTTAATTGTAGAGTGTGTAACAATGATACATTTTTAATCAAGTTTTGTCACTTTTTAGAACAAAACAGCTGAAATTATTTTAGAATGTATATTTTTCAAAGGAAATGAATATTAAAAAACAGAATTTATTAAATGGTCTCCTCATTTATTTTTGTGTTACTGTTTTTATACTGTTGTCCTCCTTTAATAACATTTTATCTGATACATAGGGTAAATAACCCCACCAAAATCATATTTCAATGTTAGACAAAAAAAAAAAAGTTTTGCTTCATTAAAGGTATTTGCAAATGTGAACAACTCACTTTATTGTGGACTCACAATATTTCTATGCTAGTCTCCACTGCAGCCCCAAATGTGGGTCATTTGCTTTTTATAAACACTTTTTATTCAAACCATTTTAAATCAAACTTACTTTACCATGTCTTTACAAATTATGCTGCTGCATCAATATCCAATTAAAAGAAAATCTAGTTTTGTAATAATAATGTATTTGGGGACAAAAAACAATCTTTAGGTGGGTTTTCGGCCTCGTTTTTGAGACATTTATTAATAATCATTAATAAATAATGATCTTGCACTACAACAGCTGTGTCTTAAGTGTTAGCTGTTCACTGAAGATGGCACAATGTCGCCATCTAGTGTTTACAATGAACACTGCCCAGAGTAGTGGCAGGTCCCATGACATGCACTTTAACATCTAATTTAGTAATTGTAGAATATTATAAAAGTGCTTTGGGACATTTTATGAAAAAAAATTTGCAGATAGTACTTCAGTGGTCTAAAGTAGAGTGGAAAGCTACAATTTGCCAGCCAAAGAGAAATTGTAGGAAGATGATAGAAAATGTTTGTAAGAGGGAAAGAGAAATAAAGACTGAAATGTTTGATGTCAATTATTCAAATAATGCAGTTTAAAATTGCATGCAGTCACAAGAAAATCTTTCCCCTGATGCTCATTTCTACTAATATCACTTTCCAAGCCTTTCAAAAGCATTAGCATTATTACACCATAATGTGACAACCTTTCTACATCAGCAAGACTGTCAGGCTGCTCATGACAAACAAAATGCAGGATAATTAGACGTTTGCCAGTTTCTTTTCAATAGGCCTATACGAGAAAACTAACTAATGTCGGCGTATTTTAAGAATTTAGACATTCCTAAGCAAATGCACACACTCAGACCTGCTCTGTTTATATACATTTTAAATTGAATGTATGTACATATTCAAATATACAGTAGGCTATTTGTGATAAAGATGTTCATGCAATGTAATCTATAAAAATAATGTAAAAACCATAGCTTACAGACAGTAAACTCAAAAATCATAGAATTTTCAGTTCTTTTCATGTTAAACGAAACTAACGTAGCCTAGTCCATTTAGATGTATTTATGAGTTATGGTGCTTTTGTCCAACCGACCGCAAGGGTTTCAGGAGAAATTCAATAGGCCTACATCTTCTTGGCCTTTCATCATTCTTTTGTTCTGCTGCATTAGACGTGATCCAGACAGCTGTAGCAGACAGACACGAGTCCCTGACTCTATAGACTGTCTGTTCTGTTCTGATCAATACATGTTACCATCTTAGTACAGGAAGAACATGTTTTAAGGCCTAAAAACATCTATTTTAGATAATTTATGCGGTGTACACTCCTTACCCAGAGTCCCCCGTCCACAGTACATCACCATCAGAAACATTTTAAATTGATAACACCTCAGCATTAAGCTGCATGCATGAACTCGATATAAAAACGACTAATTGAATCCAAAAGACCCGACAGCACCTCAGAATCACCAGAACGCAGATAAACAGATGTGAAAAGAGTTTTTTTTTTTTTTTACAGCAGTTTGAATTGGGAAAAGGAACCTACTGAAGTAGAAGTCTGCTTCTGAGCTGGTGGAGCAGCTCGATAAGGAAAAGTTCCATGTTTGAACTACAGTTGGAAAAGCCTTCATCAACAATGAAAGTTACAGAGATGGTGATGTTTCCATCTCAAGCTCTGTGTGCCCAGCTAATGGAACATTCTCAGAATTTCTATGAAATATTCTGGGAAGGTACTCTCAAAGTTATGAACAAACGTTCTTCCAGTATGCTTAATAGAATGTTCATTAAAAGTTATCTTTAATGTGTTCTCAAACATTAGCACAAAAAAACAAACAAACGTTATTGTTACAATATTTCATGGAACTTTTTTTCCCCCTGAAACGTTTTAGTTGCATGTTCATCTGTTTTTTAAATGTTACTACGTGTTTCAAAATGTTCAGAGAACATTCAGAACGTCTCAGGTTACGTATGTAACCCTAATTCCTCGAGGGAACGAGACGCTGCGTCGGAAACGCTAGGGGAACGCCTTCTGTGACCACGCTCTGAATAACATGTTCTTGTGCCACCACTGTAGGGGTCTCATGTACAGCAGGCCAATAATTATCACGTTGAACGCAGCTGTCATCAGCCCAAACAGTCTGGAACTGCTTGACAGTGAGTGACCGGCCTTCTCTTACTCTCGCGACTGAGGTGAGGATCGACTCGATCCGAGCAGGAGACATACATGCCTGCATCGTGGTCGAATCCCACACTAACACACACAGAGCGCTTCGCTGAATGACAGAAAGCTGACGCTGGCTCCGCCGCACGTGCTTTTATAGCTTCCTGGTCATGACGTCCCCCGCCCGTGACGTCCCGCTCAGCTATTGGACTGATTTCACATGTTATTCAGAGCGTGGTCACAGAAGGCGTTCCCCTAGCGTTTCCGACGCAGCTCGAGTTCCTGAAGAGGAAGTAACGTTCCCATAATGTTTGCAAAATTATAAACTGAATTGTTCCCTTAATAGAGCGACAATTGATATTTTTCATTTTATCTAAGTATCTGCTATACTGTTATAAAGATCTTTCATACTCATTTTCCCTCCATATTCAACTTGCAAAACCAAGAAAAAATGTTTCTAATACATTTAAAAATCTATGAATTTTAATTGTTCAGATAACGTTTAGAAATAATGATTTTATAACTCAATGGAAACGTTGGGTTCATTGACATTATGGCTCCATATCGCCCTAAGATCCTCATGTGATCAAAACAAACCATTAGCATTTTAAAGGGGTATAGTACAAGAATCCTGTTGAAGAAAAATGTTGAAATGGCTCACTGATGGCGATGGCATGGGTGAAATGAAATGTCCAAAATTGTCACTCATATGTGTGAATGTCATCTTAATGGTGCTTTGTGTTTTACTTCCTGTTATGGAGTGCTTTATATTTTTCTGACTGCCAATAAAATGTATAAAGGAGAATCTAAAACCCATCTTCACAAAAGAGATTTTAATTTAACTTGTGTATCTTATCAGGAACCTGACAAGGAGATACGTTACATTTCTCAGGTAATTCCACAGCACCTACAATAACTTACATTCTATTCACAAGTACACTTTTTTTATTTAACAAAAAAAGTATATTTTTTTTGTTGTTGCTAAAAAATTTTTGAAATCGACTGAAGTATACAACAATAAACCACATTCATTCACACATTTCTTGTCAGTCACTTTGCTAAGAAAAACTTTTTTAAATGTACATGAAAGCAAATGCAAAATGGAAGAGTCTTCCCATGTGTGATGAAACACCATAGCAACAACAGAAATCATCTTATCGTAGACGTTGTTGTTCACGTTAAAGGTTATTCATACAGAAGCCTAATACAATCACACGGCAAATGCCACAAGTCTCATGAGATAAAAGCAAAGTGAACAGGACAACAAACAAACTCTTTGAAGCAAGTGGAAAGTTTATTTAAAGAGAATAAAACATCTCAGATGGTGAGAGGGATGACATTTTCTATTAGAGAGGGAATTTAGAAGATCTCTTCATCCAATATAATTGCTGGCGCACAAAAGAGTCTTTAAACAGTGTCGTCGTCATATTTAATAACATCCTCTGTCTGAAAAAGAAAACATGAGTTTTAATCAAACCTGATTTTAATAACTGTATTAAAATCTATTAATTAATTCAAACGACCTGTAACCTGATCTGAGATCTGCTTGTCCTGGTGATGAACTCTTGGGACGAAAATTCTGTCATCATATGGTGTCGGGCTTTTATATATATATATATATATATATGACCCCTTTAATATATTTAATATATAAATATAACATATTTTTCTTAAATATATACATGCATTTGTGTGTATTTATATATACAAAATAAAAATACACAGTACACACACATATATTACATAAACAAAAACTTATTTTGGATGCGATTAATCGTTTGACACCACTAATATATAAATAATAATTTTAAAAAAATCATAAAATATGATTTATTCTGAAGCAATATTCTTATCAGTTTTCTATCAGCTGTGACATAAATCAGCATGTTTTTTTATATTTAATCCAAGAGCATTTTTTACCTTTATAAAGGGTAAAGCATTGAATAATGTTATGAGATTGTTTTAAATGTTTTTTGGACTATACAAACAAGAATGGTGGAAATGATACTTTTTAACTAAATTAAAACACCAGTAGGTGCCAGTAGTGAGCGTTTATTGAGTGAGTCACCGAGTTGTTCATTTAAGCGATTCGTTCAAACGGCAGATTCATCAGATGTTTATGCATGGGCTAATGAAACTTTGACTCAACCAATTCGCTCAGAACACGGAATCATTCAGCAATGAATCGGCTGTTTGCTGCGAGGTGCGCTGTGGTTCCGCCTAAAATGTAAGTGACCTAATATTATTGTACTTGCTTAACTTATTGAACTATTAAACAGTCGTAATGGTGAAAACATTGTGTGATGTTGCCTAACTAACTGTATTTTAAATATAAAAACTTTTCATTTTGAATTTTTACCTCAGCATGCTTACTTGTCTGGCATTAATGACGCGTTAATGTCGAGCCCTGGCCTGCGTTCAGCCCCGACAAAACGGTGCAAAACGTTTTTTAAACGGGAACGGTGGTGCATTGAACACCCTGTTCTGATGACGCAAGAGTTGCAACTATGGCAGCTGAGAAGGCCATTCTTTGTGTTCTTTTTGAAGAATTTTCGGAGCCTGATGAAATCCGTATAAATAC